TTTCATATTCCCTTAACTTAAAATATCCCTGATTTTTAAAATCATAGTAAAATTGGAAGAAGTAGAAGGGAATAATAAAGGGGAAAATACATGGAAAATTACAGAGAAAAAAAAGAAAAAGAGTGAACAGTCTTTGGAATACCTATGCTTTACGTACATTATATCTTTAGATCTTTACAATATCCCATGAGACAAATTTTACTGTCCCCATATTAGTTTGCCAAGGCTGCCATAACCACAGGCTGGGTAGCTTCATCAGCAGAAACTTATTTTCTCACTCTCCTAGAGACTAGAAGCCCAAGATCAAGGTGTGAGCAGGGTTGTTTTCTTTCTTCTCATCTCATAGAAGGCAGCCTTCTCCCCGTTTCTTCACATAGACTTCCCTCCCACCTATTTGTGCCCAATTTCCTCTTCTTTTAAGGACACCATTGTACTAGATCAGGGCTCATGCCAATGACCTTGGGTGTTTTTAATTATTTCTTTAAAGACCTTATCTCTGAGTACAGTAACATCTGAGGTACTGGAGGTTAGGAAGTCAACATATAAATTTAGCAAAGACACAAAACAGGCCCATAATAGTTCCTCTTCTATCGATGAGAAAATAGGGGCTCAAGGAAGTTAAATCATGCCTCGAAAGTTTCAGCTGGTAACTGTCAGGGCTAAGATTGGAATCCAGGACACCTTATTCATTTTTCCACAAAATTAAACTTACTCTACTAAAAGCAGTCACAAAATATAAAAGGAATAAAGAGTCTGAAGTCCAAAATCAGCTACTAAAATCCAAACATGGATATTATTATTTCATGACTATATTGGTCAAAATTCTTAGTTCAACAGAAAACAATCTGGGTTTACTTTAAGCAGAAAAGAAATTTAGTAGAAGGATACTGGCTAACTCACAGACCTCATGGGGAAGTTAAACAACAAAAGTCAGAAAACAAGGCAGGGGTTAGGGATATAGCTCAGTTGGTAGAGTGCTTGCCTTGCATGCCCAAGACCCTGGGTGCAGTCCCTAGCAAGACCAAAAAAAGAAAAAAGAAAAGAAAAGTAAACAAGGCAGAACCCAAGAAAAAAAGCTAAGCATCCAGAGTAATGATCAAATTATGTCCAGTCAAGTTGGTTCCACAACATAGCTAATACCACAGCCAATACCACTGGCACTAGGCCCCTGTGGCTAATGCTGGCATTTGACCACAGAGCACTACCTCCCTCTGATGCCTCTGTCTCTACCACACTGAATTCAGAACTCTCTGCTTCTATCACTTGCTTCAGATTCACCAGGCTGAGGCATCTGGGGGTTTGCCTAGACCATAACCATGCTCTGGCTAAAAGAGCTGTGAGTAAGAGAATCTGCAATTTTAGCTTCCAGTCTAGGGATAAGACAGAAGGAATGTTTGGACATCAGACAGCATAAATGAACACTGCAGGGACTTGCCCTAAGCAGCTTTAGCAATGGTCAAAATACCATAAACCAATATTTCTCCTATAGGCCTTCTACAAAGAAGAATACCAGGTTTGATTTTGGTAAATGACATTAATTGCGCTGCTTAAAAATCAGAGCATGAACAAATAGGCTATGAACCTGAGAGGACAATGTGATGTAGAGGCCACACACCTGTATTTTTAGGAGGTAAATTGAATTTATTTTATTCATCATTTATTTATTTATTTATTTTATTTATTCCATGCTGGGAATTTAACCCAGGACCTCATGCATGCTAAACAGGGTCTCTACCACTGAGCCCCACACTCCCAGCCCAAGTATATTGAATCTATATTCCCAAGTCTGCACACCTATTTGATCTAACACTCCAGAAATATGTATCTGGGGAGCTACATACATACCACAAAAAGTGAAATATCTCTTAAAGAAACAGAAATTTCTCCACTAATTGAAGAGCTTTTTATTCAACACACATGATAGACATCAGAAATAAAAATATCAGCAGAGAGAGGGTTTGCTTTGTGTGAGGTGACGAGGGAGGAGACCACAATGTGAGACGAAGAGTCAAGTGCTACAGATGAGGCTCATGAGGTCTCTGGGGGAGAGTTCCATGAGGGGCAGGAACTATAGAAGGGGGATGCAGTGCGTGAGCTGGTATATATATATATATATACAGTCTTTCACTCCAGTATATACTTTAGGGATATGGAAAGAGGTAGAATTAAACTCTGCTATAACTTTTCATATGTTGAAACCTAATCCCCAATGTGAGGATAGTTGGAGGTTAGGCTTTCAGGAAGTGACTAGATGATTATGATGGAGACTTCCTGAATGAAACTGATGCCATTACAAAAGAAACCCCGACAGAATGCCCTCTCCACTTTCCACTCTAGGAGGCTGCAGTGAGAAGATGGCCATCCGTGAACCAAGAAGCAAGTCCTTCCCAGACACTGAATATACCAGCATTTTAATCTTAGGTTTCAAAGCCTCCGGAACTGTGAGAAATAAATTTCATTGTTTTGAGGCCACCCAGTCTATGGCATTTTTGATATGTCAGCCCAAACAAAACAATCTCTCTCATCTCATGAAAATGTTCAGAATATTTCACCTTATGCTTTTATGATATCTTAAGCAGTAAATCATGGACCATCAAATCTACAAAAGCTGGAAACAGATTTAACTCAAACAACTCACAAGAATCTAGCAAATAATTGATGTTCAGAAAGTATTTTTTCAACCAAATGGGATTACATTTATAAGTTAGTTCCCTTTCCAACTTTGTAGCTCAGTTTTCTTCACTATAAAATAAAAAGGTATAGACTACATCAGTCGATTTCTGAGGTCCCTACTGGTGCTGAAATTCTATGACTCCACCTTGCATATCTTTTGAAAATATTCAATTTCTCAATTCAAGTCATTCAAATGTTTACAAATTAATTTATTATAAGCCTGTGGATCCCAGCTGTTGAAATTTTGGTAGCTGGCTGACTTCCTTCTGTCTGGAGTGGCTGAGGCTGTGTCTATAAAATGTCAAAACAATCATTGAGCTCTGTCAAACAGCTCATCAGAGCTGATGGAAGGGAGGGCAGCCAGCTCCCCAGTCTGCAGGGAGTAGTCAGCTCAGTTAAAATGTTTATTCTGTGACCTCAGGCAGATATGAGTCTCGTTGTCTAGATCATTAGGGTCTCAAAGGCACAGGCTCAACATCCCCTCTAACCACAGGAAAAACAAATTATGGAAAACATGTGAGCCTTGAGATCCTTTCTGTAAAAATGTTTGGCGACCCATTCTGTGCTATGAGAATGTGACCTTCCATATTATTACTAACAGTGATGATGCCGTGGAATACATAGCAAACTATTGCCAAAATTTATATTTTCAAGTAGGATTAAAAGACTTTCTTAGATTTGTGTTTCTATGGTGTTTGAATTTAAAACATGAACTTATATTAATTGTATGCCAGAAAACTAATTAAGAGGAAAACCCCTCTCAATATTGTTTTGTGATAATTTTAACCCCTTGTCCCTAGACAGAGAGTTACTTGAAATCCTGATGCTGCCATGTACCCATACCTAACATCTTGAAGATTACTCATTTACATGTAATGTGGTCCACCTCCCAAAGGCAGTGAGAGGACTTACAAGGTGATTCTGAAAACACAACAGCCTAAATATCAAGGAAATAATGTTTTCTTATTAGATCTTCCCAGCAACCACGGTTCTGTGGCTCATTTTCTTACTTCCCGATTTATGCATGATATAAGAAGTAAATCGTTTTAGGCAACAAGGCTGGTTAGCTCACAGGTTTCTTTTCCACTTGCATATTTTATGCTTATCTTTTATGCTTATATTTTATGCTTATCTTTTTAAGATGAGGGTATCACTTGCATATTATTTTCTTATACAAAGACAAAAAATATAAGTATCTAAGTAGAAAATCAGCTAACAAACCTACTGTTAACAAAAGAGTTTTCACCGTCTTGGGCAGCAGTGAAGAAAGAACCACAAATCTAAGCCCTGTTGAAATCTGACAAATGCAATTTTCCCAGCTTTATTTATCTCTATAAACAATTAAACAGGAGGCAGAAAAGATGAAAGAAAAAAATAGTTCATTTCAACCAACACAAGCTTTATCCTTTGTGCTTTCTTCCCTTCCCCCACTTTAACTGCAGCTTCTACAAATGCCTGTGAATTTTTAACATATGGAGGCTCTATCTCATATTTCACAGTTCTTGAAATGACAGATAGTGCACAGGTTGTCACTGTGAATGGCAAATGCAAAGACCGGGAGGCTCAGCTGCCTCCACAATTCAGAGGGGAACTGTTGAGTGGTATTTCTTTACCATTCCAGGCAGGCCTTCCAGCTGTTGGACTTTGTATTTAACTTTTTTGAGCCCCAATTTTCTCATCTGTAGAATAGGAATGTTGATATCTACTTCATAGAGTTTTTAAGAATTAAATGAGATAACATACAACCGAATAGATGAAATTAAGAGTAAAGTACCTAGCACAGGGTTTGGTAGATGCGAGGTGCTCAAACATTACTTGCTGTTTATGAAAACATTGTGGTGTAAGGGCCTGGACTCAACCAGCAGCCTGGGTTTGAATCCTGGCTCTGCCATTTACTAGGTGTTCACTCGGGCAAGTCCTTTATCCTCTCTGCTGTGCCTCTACAGAGCATAAATCATGGTAATGTATATCTGATAAGGATACAAAGTGCTTAAAACAGTATCTGGCCCTATTTAAGTGTGAAATGAAAATGCAAAGAGCTTATACATCATTTAAACTGTGTGGGAAAGAAGGAAGCACTGGACACCACCTCCAGTCACTCATGGCACCGTCCCTGGTGCCAGAATCCAACAATACTCCTTGCTCCCTCACTTCCCCCTGACTCTGTTTCTATTTTTCCTGGAAACTCCTCACCCACTCACTCCTGTGTCAGCCTGTGGCTCTGTCTCTGGCTTTTCCATGACTGTCTCTGAGCTTCTTCACCTTCTGTGCCTCACCATGTGTCTTCACTCCTTTGCAGAAAGGGTTTGGTTGGTGTAGCTACTCACCCTTGGCTCCACTCCTCTAAGACATAGCTCTCAGGCCAGGCAACTGCAGAAGCCAACAGGTCTCCCTCGAGTCCAGTCTCCAGTCTCTAGTTGCGACCATGGCTGCAAATTCATGTGATTCAAAATCCAGCAACTTCTGTCCTAGGGTGGTGGCGGTGGGGTGAGCATTTCAAATTATGGTTTAGTAGTAACCATTAAATTATTAAATCCAATTCTCTCATTTGATAGATAGCATCTTAGTCTGTTTGTGGTACTACAGCAAAATACCTGCAACTTGGTGATTCATAAAGAACATAAATGTATTGCTCACAGTTCTGGAAGCCAGAAGTCCAAAGTCAGGGTACCAACAGGGTTGCTGTCTGGCAAGGGCCTTGTGTCTGCTTCCAAGATGATGCCTGCCTCTGCATCCCCCAGAAGAAACAAATGCTATGTTCTCCATGGCAGCAGCATAGAAGTGCAAAAGGGCCTAGCCTGGTCCCACCGACTATTTATAAGGCAAATAATCCTGTTTATGAAGGGGAAACTTTCATGATCTAATCACTCCAAAAGGCCCCACCTCTTAGTACTGTTGCATTTGGGATTGTTTCAACACAAATCTTAGAAAAAAATGCAAACATTCAAACAATAACAGATGGGGAACTAGGATGGGGAACTAGCAGCCTGGGGAAGTGACCTGCTCAGTATCACACCACTCTACAAGGTAGAGCTCATACCAGTGCTTGTTTCACTCCAAATTGCATCTTCTTCAAACCTCATAAAGTGCTCCGTAAAGACTAAGCACTGGAGAGCTTCAGGGCCCATCCCCTTCTATGTGCTCCCAAGGGATGTAGTATATATCCCTGTCATGGCACTTAGGGTCCCTAAGTCATCAACCTGACTAGGCTGTGAACCACAGAAGGCAGGGGCCTTGTCTTCCTGTCTTGTCATTGTCTTGTCACTTCCTGTCTTGTCAGTGCCCAGTGCCAGGCACTAAAGTAAACACCCATGGAATAAATAAGTGAATGATTGAAAATCTGTTGGATGAGCAAAAGCTGAATAAGACTTAGGTGGGACAAGGGTATGATGAAAAGTCCTGGAAAGATAGCTATACAGTAAGAATCTTCTTATCTGAGGATATAAGGCTAATCATTCATCAGTTAACTTTTTAAGTTTTAAGTTAGGGAATCAAATCAGAGAACCATAGAAAAGTGCCTTAATGTGAATTGCCACTTCTTCCTAATATTCCTTCTCCCAGTCTCTCCTGAAGTCATAGAAACTCAAATTTGAGCTGGCTATGAGGTCAGTCTTCTAGATAGACTGCATATTTCCAGCCTTCATGGAGCCACAAAACAAAGTTCCAACCAACAGGGTATGTCAAAGTGACGTGGGCAAGCTCCATTATATCATGCCCTGTTGCTTCACTGGACATGACACAACTGCTGCCTTTGATAGCAATTTCTATAAGTTACTCATTATAATAAAGTTTTCAAAGGAAAAGCAACTCAGTTTTGTGGAAATAAGCTCTATTTCATATTTTACCAATTTATATAATATATTGACTTATAGATTAACAATTTCAACTACAACTTGCTGAGAGCCATAGCCAAGTAGGAAGGACGCATGGCATTTTTGGTTGAAAGGTGACGCCAGCAAGCCATTGAGATGATAATGATTATGTTAAGATGTGCATTCAATTGGAGATTAGACCCCTGCTGTCTGCCTTGGCCTGCTACTTTGGAGCTCTTGCGGGACTCCTGGAGAGTTCCCATTGGTTGGGGAAGTGCGGTAGGAGGGAATTCCGGAGGAGGGATTTCCAGTTGGTGGAGTGTGTCCTGGGAGAAGGCCACGTGCATGGCATTCGCAGGAGTTTTGGAAATAAAGTTTGCTCCTGCTTGAGTGGCTCGTGATTTTGTGCCCAGCCAGACTGCGGCAACAACTGGAATAAATAGCTTAGAAGCAAATAAGCCTAACTCCTGGTAAGTGAAAACTAAGAAGTAGTAACATTCAGTTAGTGGAGTGAAAGTCTACATGCAAACCAGAGTGTGGCCTCTTAGCTGCAAGAACTCCACCTCCCAAAGGTATCAGTCAAAGTAATCAGAGGAGATATGGCCCCAGTTTACCTGGTAAGCCAGTAACATGAAGTTAAGAGAGGTTCTACCAAAAAATGAAGGGAAAATGCATTTGGAATCTTGGAGGGGAAAACTGGGCTGGAGAGAGAGAGGCTCCTCTCTTCTGCACAGATATCCCTCTTTGGAGTAGTCATCAACTGGCAGTCTCACTGCCTATCACCACCTATCTGGCCTTTCCTACAGCTCAAGCATTCTTAAAGAAGCAGCTTCTCAGATCTGCAGCCTTGCTTCAAGGTAGGAAGTGATAGCCATGAACTGCATCAGTACACAGCTCCTTATAAAATGGTAGAAATAAGGGGGTTTTGCATTTCATGTGGGGAAAGGGAAAGTGGGGATCTTTGGACTCTTTTCAGGGCATGCCAGGACTTCAGGAAACAATTATGTGCAAAGAAGCATGACGGGCTTGGCAGATCCCTTCCCTGGGGCTATTTGCTCACAAGAACAGCCCCCTGGAAAGCAGGGCCCACTCCCACCATGGGACATTTGCCCAAGAAAGGACATCAGACCAGTTCAGTCCTAGAAGCCAAAGAAAGGAGAAGTTTGCCAAAAGCAATCCTGTCCAACAACAGGGAATAGAAGGAAGTTTGGGGGGTTTTTGTTTTTGTTTTTGTTTTTAAGCGGTAGCATAAAGAACAGGAATTCTGTGAATGTTTCTCCCATTAGGTGTGTGTGCCAGCTTGCCCTAGAGAGTTACCAAGGCTTCTATACTCCCATGCTATTTTAGGATGAGTCACAGTCATTTAATTATGTATTTACTTGTCTAATTCCACAAAAAAATGAAAGCCTTTCAAGGGCAGCTTTATAGTTCAGGAACCAACACACACATAGATGCTCATTAATCTTATGACTGAATGAAAGAAATGCTATGCAATAACTAGAGGATTTTTTCAAAGATCTCACTTGACCTTCTTCCAAAACACTGTGAATTAAGAAAAGCAGGCTTTACTATCCCAATCTTATAGATGAAAAAGCCAAAATAACTGCTAGAGTAAGTGGCAAAGTCTTCACAATAGAACTTCAGACTCTTGAGAAGTCCCCGGGGGCTGGGGGGAATGAGAAACCATCACCTCCTGGTGGAGAAGATGAGTCAGATCCTGTTCCTGGCTCAGGGACACCAGTGAGTTCCAGAACCCAGGCTTGAGCCCAGGGATCCTCCCAGCCCAGCCAACTGTCCTTTTACTCTACACATTTCTGTCTGGATATCATCTGGTTGTTTAAATACTGATACTGACAGAGTGAGAGAGAGAAGAAAATGATGAGGAAAGACCAGGGGAGCTCACAGCATGGCACCTGGGTCTTTGTCAACCCTGCCAAGAGAAAGGAGGTCAAGCATTCACTAGTCCAGCTGTGCCAGCCACCGTTTGGGCCCTGGCTGCTGGCAGATACGCCAAACCCCAAAAACTTAATTTTTCTGACCAGCTTCTTTGGACCCTTATCAGAATTTCATTGACTTTAAAAAAAAAAAAAGAAAGGAAGTCTATCCTCCCACCATCCCACTTAAACTATATTAGCAAATATTTGTCCCAATACTGAAGAAAACATGCCCATAATGCTTGGCACTTTTGTCAGGGGCAGCTCTCTCACTGCCTCCTTTCTATTGGGCTTCCCCACAAATATTTGTCCGTATGAGACACAACCACTTGACATGAAATTGTCAACCGTGAAGGACTCTTCTCAACTGCAAAGTGCATTCAAGTGCCCAGCTGACACCTGGAAATGGTAAGTGAGGGAGTTCATACCTGGAAATGCTCACAGACCTCAAAGAGCAGGTGGCTTCTGGGCAGAGGGATGGGGGACAAGCTGCTGCCAGTCCTGGCCCAAGAGAAACCATTAGGAGCCCCTCATCTAGTAGGAGAAATGGGGGATTCCCATTTCACCCATTCCCATGTATCCCACACATTCAAATACCTGGAATGGCCACAGAAGGGAGATGGATGTCCCTAGACGCCTTTTTGAGATCTACTCCCCCACCTCGTGGAAATTCACAGTGCTCTGTCCAGGGTTGGGCCAATTTCTGAGGCTTATGCTCTCATGATTCAGGTCCTAGGTCTGTGCAACTGCCTTTGTTTGTCCCATTGCCTTTTGCCCCAAGAAAATCCACATGTGCCAAGCATTTGGTGCATTTAAGAGAGGCAATAAGGAGGCATCCCATCAAAGAGTGCAGGTTTCTACCATCTAGATCCCACCCTATAACACACACAGTAGAGACACAGAGCCCACGTGTCCTCCAGAACAGTGCAGCTTCCTACCTGTGCTTCCCTGCTTCTCCACCTGAGCACTTTCTCTAGGACTTAAAACTTTCCCCACCTCCACACTGGAAAGCAGTATGGAGATTCCTCAGACAGCTTGGAATGGAACCACTGTTTGATCCAGTTTTCCCACTCCTTGGCATATACCCAAAGGAGTTAAAATCATCATACTACAATGATGCAGCCACATTAATGTTTATAGCAGCTCAATTCACAATATATAAGCTATGGAACCAGCCTAGGTGCCTTTCCACAGATGAAAGGATAAAGAAAATGTGGCATATATACACAATGGAATATTATTCAGCCATAAATAAGAATGAAATTATGGCATTTACCAGTAAACAGATGGAGCTGGAGACTATCATGCTAAGTGATATAAGCCAATCCCCCAAAAAACAAAGACTGAATGTTCTGGTATATGGATGCTAAAACACAAGAAGGAGGTGGGAGGGAAGAATAGAAGTTCATTGCATTAGACAAAGGGGAATACATGGAAGGGAGGAGGGATGGGACTAGGAAAAACAGTGAAATGAAGTGTACATAACTTTTTTCCTGTGTTCATATATGAATATACCACTAGTGAAACTCCACATCATATACAACCACAAGAATGGGATCTTAATTAGAATAAGTTGTACTCCATGTATGAGCAATATGTCAAAGTGTACTCTACTGTCACGTGTGTCTAAAAGGAACAAATTTTAAAAAGGAAAAAAAAAACTTGTCCTAACCCAATGGGATAGCCCAGAATTGCCAGCCAGGGACAACTCTCAACCAATAAGAACCAAAAGTATAAAAAAATACTTTCCCCAACTCTAGATGGTACTATTTTGAGGTATATTCATTACAGTGTCAGTTGGTCCTGGTTGAGCCTGTTGCCCACAGTGAAGCCTCACTGAAACATCATTGATGACTTCTCTTTCCTGTCTCGCATTGACTTCCTGGGATCACCTCCAGATAAACTACCTGCACACAACCCCTTATCTCCAGGGACCTCTTCAGACTCTGAGGCTTCTCTTCTGTTATTCAGATATTCATTTCCCTTTTCCAGTTCTGCAGACTCAGCTCTCCTAGAGGGCTCAGTGTTGTATTTTCCCATC